ATTAAAAAAGAAAAATACATTAGGTTGTTTTACTCTACATCTTGTGGTTTTGTGATTTTTTTTTTTCAGGCTAACATAAATGGCCGAGTTCTGTCTCAGTGCAACATTGATGAGCTGAAGAAAGAGATGAACATGAATTTTGGAGATTGGCAACTTTTCAGGACATCAGTAAGTAGTGTCTCTGATTTATAGACTTTCTCAGTAGTAGGGCTTGCAAAGACTAGTCGACTAGTCGAGCGATCGACTACTTCAACCACTAGTCGACGCTCTCAGAAGCAATCGACTACTCGAACGTGCATTTACCATAAATAAAATCAAAACGACAAATTGTTGCTTGTTGAACTATTTTATTTCTGAACCAAAATAATTTTGATTCTTGTTATCACTGCTGGAAACTTAAATATTAGAGTTATTTTTTAAATCAGACTACTTGTTGTATAACAGACAATTACTTGCGCGCACATGATCGTTTGCATAATCTTCAGGCCGGTTGAAGAATATATATTCGTTTATTTTGTTATTTTAGTAACTGTTAAAACGTAGCAGAAATTAAATGATGGAATGAGATTTAGCCTAGCTCAGAATAATTTTATTCATCTTTTAATTAGTTTTATGAATACTGCGTTATGAGTATGACTTTTCGGGACGCATTTTAGGTTTCGGGTGTGACTACTTTTACTTTCTATAGCCTACATTAAATGTATAATTAAAATTTATTAAAATGCAATAATTAGCCTAACTTTTTTTTTATTATAAATATTTATTTAAGTATTTTCAATTTAAACTTTTTATTTATGCATTATTTATTAATTTAGGCTATTTTTTCTTTTTGCGGGTCAGCTGTATTGTTGACAAGAACTATTTTTATCTTTCCGAACTGGTTTAACAATTAAGTTTCACTTAGTTCTTATTACGGCTGAAAAATAATAAAGTTACTTTAATAACTTAACGTATTACAGGATGAACATGAGTTTGCTTTGCATATACTGCAAGCTTATGACGCAGATGTTAAATGACAATGTTGCGTGCAGCTTTTTATTTTTATATTACTCTGTAATATAAAAAAGTAATATAATGTTTTGACATTTTATGTTAGCGCTATGAAATCAATGCATTCGGCTATGAATTAATAAAAATGTATTGAAAAGGATTTCTTTGTGTCTTTTTAACTAGTAGCTCGAACTACGGATAGTCAAGTAACTCGAGTATTGTTTTGAAAAGAAATCGATTAGCAGAAACCAGTAGTCGTGCAAGCGCTACTCAATAGTTTAGCTTTCTGAATGCCTTTCCCAACATTTTTATTGACCCTTGCAGAAAAAACAATTATAATTTAGTGCCTCCATCACTAAAAATATTAACTAAATCTAAGACAAAACCAAATGTTTACAGTTTTGTAAGATAAAATCCATACACATAATCAAATGTAATGTCATAACTTTAAGACAATGCAAGTGACAGTACAGTCAACACTGGGTTTCAAAACTGGTGTAATGGAGTTTATATTGTGCAGGTGCTGGAGATGCGTCATGTGGAGAACCAGGTCCTGCATGAGGAGGCACCTAGTGAGCAGGGCAGCATTACGGTTGGCCATGTGGAGCCTTGCAGACATGCTGGAGCAGCCGCTCAAGGAGTAGCTGGAAACACGGACACCTCACCCATGTACAATTTTAACCTCAGCTTTGAAGAGCTCAGTAACGTGGGTTTAGAGGAGCCTCCTAGACATGTCAATGCTACATGGATGGTAAGCGTTACTTTACAGGCTCTTGCAAGCCTTTAGGTTTCAGACAATTGTCTCAACATCTTTTGTCCTTTATAGGGTACTACTCACCGTACACCAAGCATGTCAAGTCTTAACTCTCAAGAGTCCTCCAATGAAATTTGCAAGCTAACAGACAAGCAGCAGGCAGAGTACCGCAATGCCTATGAAGATTATATCGCCTCCATGTCTCAGCTTGAGTTAGGAATGGAAAAACCGGTGCCACCTTTTGTTAGCCAGCTAATGCACTCCAGCTCTGAGGACAAGAAGAAGGATGGAAATGACCAGGATGGGCGCAAATCTGTTTCCAAACGAGGGAGCACCAAGTCTGGAAGCGATAACACAGATTACGCCTCAGCAGATGCTGCTACTTTAGATCCCATAACAGAAGAGGATGAGAAGGTTGACCATGGGTCATCAAAGTCCCTTTTGGGACGCAAAACATCTGGAGACAAGGTGAGCCTCTTTCAGGGAGCTGATCTGAAGTTGAAGGCTGGTGGAGGCTCACGTTACCAGAAACTGACCAGTGATGATGAAGAATCCGAAGAGTCTGATAATGCCCCTCTGCTTAAAGATGGAAAGAAACCTGAAGCCAAAGCCTCAGATGGCGGAGATCGATCTTTGACCAAAGGTAAAGATTACCTTTCGGATAAGAAGGATTCCTCTGACTCTGGTGTCCGCTCCAACGAAAGCTCACCTAACCATTCGCTACAAGACGAAGAGGCTGATCTGTCACAATCAGAGAGGGCTAACCTGATCGAGCTGGACGAGGAGAACTCGGCCCGAAAGCGAGGCCTGCCGAATAGTCTGAGTGGCCTCCAAGACCCAACTATCGCCCGCATGTCCATCTGCTCAGAGGACCAGTGCAGTCTTCTGGCCAGCAGCCCTGAAGAAAGCTGGCCTTCCTCCAAGAGCTACAACCTCAACCGGACACCCAGCAACACCACCCTCAATAACAACACTAACGCCCAACAAGGAAACCACATTCGCCAACCGTCAGATAGCTCAAACACCACCTCCACCACCACTGGAAGCGATGTCATCATAAATCCTGGAACCAGCACCACCTCCGCAACCACCCAGAATGAAAATGTCCGCGTGGTGCATCTGAAGAGGGGCCTAAACCCTGGAGATCCTCCTGAGATCCTTAAAGTTTCCTCTGAAACCGTCACCTTCGGAGAGGAGCGAGAAAGTATCCTGTAGTTGACTAGATCTGGATCTATTGCCTTCTGGTCCTAGCTGGTTGATGTTCTGTGGTGTCAGTGCATGCTCGGTGGAATGCTTAAATAAATGTAATGGTGGTTATTGTGACATTTCCACATGTTAAGTGTTATTAAAGTGCTTTTCATTCTCTTCAGAGGTCTATTTCAAGGGAGGTTACTTACTTTGTTAAACCTAAAATGTGCGAAACTTCGTTTTTTTAGTTTTAAAATGGGAGGTATGTCAAACCTGAAAGACTTAGATATGGGCTTGACTTACCCCACTTTCTCAGCTGTGACATATCTCCTATTCTGAAACAAAAAGAGTTTCCCTAACTAGAGTTTTGACTTAACCTCCTTTCTGAAGTTCACCATCGTAAAGTTAAATATTTGTGGAGTTTCTAATCAGTGTTAGTAGCTTAATAACTTATTAGTCATCAGTTGTATGGCTTTGGAAATCAGTGTTGTAGTGGTGTCCCCCAATGTTCAATTGTTTGATGTCGTGGTGAAGCAACCTAAACCTTTTGATCTGGCTAGGAAATGTGTTGTACCGAGTTGTCCTGCATGCGATCATCGTGCTGTAGCTACAGTATTATATAAGCAGTGACAAGCTTGTGTCAGGCTGCTAAATTAGTCAGTAGAAACTGCATGCCTCTGGATGTTAGTCTAGCACTATTGACAGCTGTCTTGAAAAGTAAAGCATGTTTTGTGGTGCTCGTCTTCAACATGGAATGGAATAAACCTGACAGTAGTCATGTTTCTTGAGTCTTTGTTTGAAATAAACATTCTTCTTCTCTGTACACGCTTGTGTTCCCACGAGAGGTTTGCTAAGAGCAAATTTATTTTAGTACCATGAATTACAGACGGGTGGCACCAGTAGCTCATGCATTACAATTATATCCCACACCCAGAACACATACGAGTGTCCTTTCAGTGTGTGAATTAGTGACTCAGAAGGCAAAAAAACAGGATCTATCAACAATATCTGAGCCCACTCTACACGCAAACATTTTTGTGGTCATACTTTCATGACAATATTGAGTAACTGTTTTGATGAAGTCTGATACACAGGCTGATGATTAAGGAATGGAAGCAAAGATATGAAAACAGTGCATATTTTAGGGCTGCACAATATTGGAAATAACTGATATTGAAATATTTAATTTTTCAGCAATATATATTGCGATATTGAGTATACTTTCACTAGATAAAAAAAATGAATGTCTCTATTTGAAAATGGTTGACTGGGATGATTTTGCAGTTTAGTGCATCTGCATGAAATATAATAAACCAAATCTAGAAAACTAGCATTGATAAAATTGTGGAGCAAAGATGCAAATGAAATGCGCAGAATTTTAAGGTTTTCTAGTTGTTTAGCAGGCAAAATAACGATAAACACATGTAATTGTAAATCTCATTGTATAGTTTACATTGTAGAAACACATAAATGCAATTAAGCCTTCCTAAAGTAATAAGCATTCAAATTCTCGCCTGTTTTGAATGTTTTAAACTGGGTTAAAAATGCTCACAGGCCTTAAAAACAAATGCAAATGATAAACATGATGGTCAACTTTAGTTCAATTTTGCAGCGAATCCACAAATTACACGTTTACAACTGTGGAAAATCCCAACTCCACATTGCAGATTGATACATTCATTGCAATATTGATGTGGAAAAATATAATGTGCAGCCCTACTAAATATTCTTACATGCTTATCTACAATTGAATGACCACAGACAAGCTGTTGTGTTCAAAGACTGGCTTTGACTTCCAATATGGTGGACAACTTACATACAGCACATAGAAACATCTGGTGGACCAATTTTAAATCATTACAGAATTATACTTTAAACTTTTGTTCCTTATGAAACGACTACACAGTGAAAAACATATGAAAAACCCTACATATAACCCTTGTTTAACTTTTGTATTGGCTTGTATTGGTTTTATTTGAGGTTAGACCACCACAAGCCCTTCATACTCTGAAAACTAGTCTTTAAAACACAAAGACAAGAGAGCAGCAACAAAGCCACTGAACGGTAATAAGTTAATAAGCTTTATGTATATGCAAAAACAAAAAAATACAACAAAAAACATTGCATCTGTAACAGTTGTTCAGACAAAGACACTGGCTTCATACTTCGCATTTAATTATGTACAGTATAAAAGTGCCATTTACGTTATAATTATAAAAATTTCTGTAATATTATAAACATCACATTTTCAGCAGAAAGAGAAAACAATAGAGCGTTTTTGCTCAATTTCTTTACAACACAAAAGAACAAAAACATCTTTCTAGGATTGCTTGCGTAATTAGTATTTTCCTTCAGTCTCTTTTAATCTTCCTTTGGAAGAAAAAATAGGAAAGTCCATATACAACTAAGTCAGAATCTTTTTTTTGTCCGTTTGAGGAAAATCCTTTGTCATTCAAGACGAAGTCCAGGAGAATGACACGGGACAAAAAAAAAACACAAAAAGCCTCTGTTTTTGCTCCACGACCGAAACACCTGCAAGAGATTGTGAGAGAGAGAGAGAGAGAGAGAGAGAGGCGTGTTTAGAGAAGGCAAAAGGACAGAGATCCGGACAGACTGGCGCCAGGGAGGAAGCCACAGGACGTTTTTTTCGGACTTTTAACCAAACAAGCGAAATACCGGGCAATACCATACAGCTCCAGATGGCGGACTCTAGCAAGCATCTCACACTTACATTTGATAGCACTTTACATAGCTAACACTATGAATTCTTATTATCCTGAAATTCTCATCGCTACAAACCTCTGACTTTCATTTGCTGTAGTCGTTCAACCATTTGTTCATCAAACAAAGTCAAGCAGGTTTGAAACGACATGAGAAAACATCTTTCTAAGTGAATTGGGGCAATTATGATAGAAATGTATAATGACATTTGAAACAAAGCGTAGAGTATAATAAGTATTGTTTTAATGACTTATTTTTTTAATACTGCATAAATAATTACTGTATGCTTACTGTATAACAGCAAACTGCCCCACGTGCAAAAGTTTAACTTGGCTTGTCAAAGCATGAAGATGAATCAACTCACCATTTCAACGAGACAGGGCTATGAGGTCATCTGTGTTGATCTCTCTTTGAGGGTTACTGGGCTGTTAATTAACAGAGGTAAACAATGATTGTCAGTGTTGCTGCCAGCACAACTTAGATTTCAAGTTGGTGTTAAAATGTATCAAGCTTTTGTGATGTGTAACATTAAAGTTGAAGTTATTCATAGTTATATTTCTTCGGGTTTTCCAGTGTGTAAATATGTAACTGTTAGCTACATTTTCTTAAAGAAAAAAACGGCAAATTCAAATTCGCTTGTTTCAAGTTTGTTTAAGTTATTTCTTCTTCTGTTGAACACAATAGGAGATATTTTGATAATCATTGGTTTCCGTTTGATTTCCAATTGATGTCAATGGTTAGATGTTTTCAGCTTTCTTCCAAATATCGTCATGTGTTCAACAGAATAAAGAAATAGAGATTTGGAACCACTTGAGGGTAAATAAATAGTGTACATTTTCATTTTTTAAGTGAACTATCCCATAAAATCAAAATACATCAACTCGAGAAGATAAATTACTTGTCTGAGAAAGCAAAAGACAAAAACAAGCTGGTTAATGCTGCTTCAATATAGGGTAAGAAAGTAAACAGTTATTATTACCACACTAGTAGATATTTGTCTCGTTTTAAGCATAACAATTCTTTGTCATTAAAAACAAAATTTCTCAGGTGCCATTTTTTATGAACGTGTGTGCATTTGTACAAGAAAATAGTAAATCGCGGTGCAGCATTCATATTAAATCGTCATGCTATTTCTGTATTTCCTTTCTAAAGCATTTAAAATGTAATTTTCCACGCCATTGTAAATGACTTTGACTGCACGGTGTATGAAATGTGGAGCTACAGTAGCTACAAAACTTGCCTTACCTGGAAAGAGATGATGCTGATATCAGCTCCCAGTGATCTGACAGTCTTTTTTGGAGGGCTCTGTCCGAGGCTCTGCTGCTGCTGCTGCTGTAGCGGGTTCTGGTCCAGTGCGATCTGAAGGTCCAAAATGTAGTCTATAACATGCTGCAAGATCTCCATCTTACTCACGCTCCGGTTCTGCGGTAAACTCGGCACGAGCTCCTTCAACCGGCTGTAGCAGTCATTCATGTTGTACAGTAGACTGAGCGGGTCGTTGCTCCGCGAGATGCCCATATTATGCTCCGAAAAACACAAGGCAGGTTTCCTGACGGACCTCACCGGACTGACTGCCTTCATGGTGGATGTGCCGATGTTGCGGTTAATTTCAGGACATGCGATTCTTTCTTTCGGATCTCTGCGCTGGGAGCTTGTTGTCAGTGCGTTTATATAGCAACCGAGCTGGGTTTGTTATAAGGCATAAAGAATTACGCGGATTGGTCGATGAGACGACGTCACTCTGTAAAGCGATGCGTCAACATTGGCCAAATGTGCAGCACGTGAGCGCCTCCCACATCCCCGCATTCCTCCCTCGTGCTGAAGAGTATCCGAGCAACTAACTGTATGCAAAGAAGAATAACATCACATCATTTGTTTATGTGGAGACGGGCTGATTTCGCAAGGGACGCGCATTTGCGCATGGGTCAGCATTAAAAACCCACTGTCAAGTTATAAAATCATATTAACGCCAGATGCGCTTGTTGTATGTCAGTTTAGTTCACATAAGGGCTGCCTAAACTTTTTATTACGAGGGGCCCAACTTTAAGGAGGCTATTGGGCCAAAAATAGGCTAAATAGAATTGCCATTGGTAGTTTCTTGATTTACTTAATAATATGTAAAAATAACTATTTCTTTACATCAACTAATTGTGCACACACACACACACACACACACACACACACACACACACACACACACACACACACACACACACACACACACACACACACACACACACACACACACACAGAGTAATATATATAGGCATCTTGCATTCAACTTGGAGTAAGGTTTACGACTTTTATTTAACAATTCAGATTTTTTTCTCCAAGTTTACAGCTCTCAGTTTGAAATATATTCTTCTCTGAGTTTAGCTTACAGCTATGTTGCAATTGAGAACTGTTTTATTTGGAATTTCAAGCTGATAGTAATGAGGGGGAAAAGTATGTGTGAGAAACTTGGAGTTGCAAGAAGGAAAAACTCAAAAAAATTTCAGTAAATTTTGCCCCCCCAAAAAGTTGAGAGAAGTAAATTTGCTCTTGGGAGAAAAACAGTTCTGAATTCTGAATTAATGCATGAATTTACAATCTAACAATTCTGACTGTTTTTAATATCAGAAATATGAGAAATAAGGTTACAATTTTGGTATTAAAAAGTCAGAATTGTGAGATTTTATATTCAGAAGTCTGAATTTGTTTCATCCCAGTAGAAAGTTTACTTCTCTCACTTTTTTTCTCTGCAAATTTGTTTAAATTTTGATTTGTGAGTCTGAGTTTATATCTAATTAAGAAATGATAAATGCTTTTTATATTATATATTTAGACTTTTTTTCTCAGAATTATTAGCTTATCTGTGTCATGGAACGGTGACTTTTTATCAACTCCAGCTATTCTACAAGAAACAAAATAAATTGCTAAATATTACCTATAACAACTATAAATTATAATAGCAAGAATCCCTATAAACTCAGAATTGTGAGTTAAGAATTTTTTGCAAATCTTGCAAATGTCGATCTAAAAACTTTTGATTCTGAGTTTATCCTATAAAAACAAAACTCTCAAACACAAGATAAACTCTAAGTTTCTAACAAACTGTCTTGTGTTAGTTATAGCTATAGACTGTTTGTTAGAAGACATTTACTATTTAAATTACTAGTTTAGTCTAGGCCTAACTGCAAGTTAACTTCGTCACAGTTGTAACTTACAATTTCAACTTAAACTCACAATTCTGAGTTTGTCTTATAGTTCTGAGGAAAAAAGCTAGAATTGCTATAACCTCAATTGCAAGGAATATACAGTAGGAATTGCGAGAAAACATATAAAACACATTTTGTGAGGTCAAAGTTCACAGAGAAAAAAGGTGTCAGAATCAGTAGGCTAGATCATAGACAATAGACAGATAACAAGTGTGGAATGCTATTACCCTAAATATATATATATATATATATATATATATATATATATATATATATATATATATATATATATATATATATATATATATATATATAGGCTATATATATATATATATATATAGGCTATATATATAAAAATACATGACATTTTTTATCAACACCTTATTTTGAATAAATAGCATTTAAAGCAGATTCAAATGAACTTCATGGCTACAACACTCTTAACTGGCGTATAAAAAATGTAAAGTTTTAACATAAATTGGACACTTGATGACCCCGTTACATGTGACGCAAGGAAGTTTTACCAAATTAATTCTTTGAGAGTGTACTTACTGTAAAGCTTTTTGGGTTAACTTTTCCTATCTAATTTAAAAAATAATCCCCAAAATGTTATTCTTTGGTTACTCTGAACGTAGATTCTTCTCATTGTAGATTTATTATTGATTTATAGCTTTTTCTGGCTACATTTTACATCCATAAATGTAAATTTTCAAAGAAACACCGTAACTTTTTATTTTCAGAAAGCATTTTGATTTTTGTGAACTCATTAAAAGACTCTAATGATTTTATTGTTAATTAGAAAAAATTATTGCACATCACTTAAACTTGTTTAATTTGCTGAACTTTTGTATATGTAACCCTTTTTATCATATTGTATCTTTGTAAATGTTCTTTCTTGCGTAATAATTAAAAAAAAATAACGAATCGATTCTTTAAAACAATCTGCTCAAAAGAGCCAATATGCATATGACTCGCTCGTTAACGCGCTCTCCTAAACTCGCGACTTTCTGGCGCTGAGAGCGGGACGTCCTTTCAGAGAGGTAGAACTTCTAGTATCGGTTCTGTCAGAGCAGCATGACCGCGTGGTGCGTGCACCTGCAGCACATCGCAGCTCGTCTCTCTCCGTTTCAGTTTTCCTCGGTCTCGCTCTTCAAGCACATCAGTCTTTGTTTACTCAGCTTAAGCTTTACGCAGACACCTTTTCATCCCAGGTAATTGATAGCACACTATTTGCAGGTCAAGTGCAATGCTTAGAGACGCAATCCTGATAAAGCTGGATCAGCAGTTGTCTAGTTGAGTCCTTGGGTCACCCCTGCACGAGAACAAACAGTGTTTTAGCACATCCACTATGCTTTCTTTCACTAATAATAAATGTGAATATATGCTTTTGTTAATGCAAATTTATATAGGATAAAATCACTAACAATTAACACCATATACCCTGTTGAATAATTACATTAAGAATTACAAACATTTCTGATATGACAAGTTTTCTAAAATGTTATGTTTAAATATGCAAATGAGACATTTCATTATCATTCATTTTTCTGTGGCTTAGTCCCTAATTCATCAGGGGTCGCCGCAGTGGAATGAACCGCCAACTTATCCAGCATATGTTTTATAAAGCAGATGTCAATGCAGCCACAACCCATTACTGGGAAACACCCATAAACACTCATTCACGCACATAAGCTACGAGCAATTTAGTTTATTCAATTCACCTATAGCGCACTGGGGGAAACCGGAGCACCCAAAGGAAACCCAGGCAAACAAGGGGACATTTAATTATATCCAAACTAATTTGCATACATTTCAGGCCCACTCATCTGAACATTGCATGAAGTCACAATCAAAATCCTTGATAAATTTTTTTTCATATTAAGGTTTTTACTGAGAGGATTTTGGAAATCTTTTATCTCTCCATAAATCAGAAAATGAAGCAAACATAAAAAAAAAGAATAAAAAAAATTGTAGAATACAATATTGAATTCCTCTGTAAAAATCTTTATAATACAGATAATTCAATTTTAAAGGATGGCTAAAGTGGACGTTTATGACTTAACTTTTCCAAAATACTTTCTTTACATCAGACTGAAAACCCTTAAAGGCACAGTCCCTCACTATTTACTCACAATCAAGTGTTTCTAAACTTTTCTGAACAACTTTGTAAAGTGGTACAAATTATAAATACTCAAATTACTGTAATTGAGTGGTTTTTCTCACAAACTGTAATTAAGTAGTTTTAAAAATATGTACTTTTACTTTCCTTCGAGTACATTTTTAGTGCTGTATCAGTACTTTTTTCCATTATTTTCGCACCACTACTTTGTCATTATTGTCTATGGGGATTGGCTGAAAAGAAAAATGAGTCCTGTGATTCCTGTCCAATCAAATTGCACATATTACATAAATCACATCATACTGAACAACCTTAAGACATGGGCGCTTTATAAATGCAGCAGTCTGTTTTGAAGCATTTAAAGTGTCCAAGATGTGCAAAATCTTTATTTGCAATGACCCAGAGGCTGTTTAGACTGCCCAAATGGCCTTAAACAATCACTAAATGCACTACAGAACGTTACGTTTTCACACATATTCACAAATTGCATGTAAACACATCAGCTATTCACAGCATAACACTCACTACTCACAAGCACTTTTGAAAGCGCTACTTTTTACTCATAGTTTGAGTAAACAGATACTTTTACTCTACTTTGACTACATTTTTTGCCAAGTAATAGTACTTTTACTTGAATATGATTTATCAGTACTTTTTCCACCAGTGTTGAACACACAACAGGAGATTCTGATGTGCTTTGGGGAAAAAATCACTCATTGATATTCATAGTATGAACAAAAAAACCTTTAGAAGTCAATGGCTGCTGCTTTTCAGAATTCTTCAGTATGCAAAAACCTCGTAGACCTCTGAAATTTACATCAAAAATTAAAAAATTGTCAGCCTTCTTTGTCTATGTTGAGATATTTCACTTTAAACACCAGGAAAAGGACTTATTCTTTGCCATAAAAGTGATCTTACTGATCATACACACATGAGCCTGATAAAAATACTCACTTTAGAGATAATTTCAGAAGCTATTTAGAGGTTTTTGCATCTGAACTCTTCATTTCTTCCTTTGTGTTTAAGAAGAAATGAACTCAAACAGGTTTAAAATAAGGAAGAGTAAATGATGACAGATTTTTTATTCTTGGGGGAACAAACCCTTTATAAAACCCCAACATCTCAAAATTGACAGTTGTTTAAAGTAAAAAAATAAAAACTATGTTTTTGCCTTCAGAGTCTTGTCTAAATGTTCAAATGTTTCCCCTTTACGTCACACACATTGACCTACTGTAACTGGCAATGCTTTTGAAATGTGAAATATTCCTGTAGTGGTAGAGAAGGAAATGTTTACTGGTTTTATTATGCAAAG